GGAGGAGAAGGGATTATGGTGTGGCCATCCCCCCTGGGGGGTGATTTCTCCCTTTCTGCCTCTCTGTCTCTGTCTGTCTAGGCAAGTGCACACGCCCTATAGCAAAAACCTCTTCAAAAAAAAAAAAAAAAGAAAATGTGCTTATGGCACAATTTGCCTCAATCCATTCCAAGTTGTATATTTGTTTCCCAACAAAAAAATTACAATTTACCCCTCAAAAATTATTTTTAATAGATAAAAAATGCAATGTAGTTTTTTTCTGCATCTTTTGAATCTTAAAGGGGGATTAGAGGTTTAAAAACATATTTGTGTTTGCTATAGTGCAGCTCAGAGTAAGCAATGTGCCAGTGAGGCTAAATAACCATGCAGCATCAGAAAACTGAAATGCATTAATAGGGCATTTGCACACACTGGACCAAGGGTAATAGTACACGAGGGCAAAGGTTAAACAGTTGGAGGGCCTGGTTTAATAGCAGACCTGAACTGTTATTTAAATGTCACAAATGTCAGTGTTCGTCTTCAAATGGTATTACAGTAGGATTAGCGTCCTAAGCCTTGTTCCAATTTATGGAGATTCAGGGAGAATGATTCTCGTCAACTTGGTCCAAAGCAGGAGAAGATTGATTTTCCTTTACCACTCAGTCTGCTTTTATGAGTTTTCCAGACCTACCTTTCCCAGCCTGTATCAAGGATGGAGACTGCCAGATCCACTTGGGGGCCATATGTGAGCAGTGAATCTGAAAGAGTTATGGCTCGTTGAGAAAGCACTGAAGAAAATCCTGCCACTATCAGCCACTTTCTCCCAGCCAGAGCTCCCTGTGATTGTCAGAACCGGCACTGGCTTAAACCACAGAACAGGTGTTAGGACCAGCCCAATTCTTCCACCCTTAGTCCCAAAGGCACGGACCAACAGAACCAAGATGTGGAAACTCATCCATATCTCCATCAGCAGCATTTGGTTTTGCTCCAGCTGGAGAAAGCACGTGATTCTGAAACCCCTTTAACCTTATTAGGACGTCCTTGTTTTTATTGTTACTAAAACACGTGTATGTGAACACCTACAATGTGCTTAGTGCACTGGAAACATCTCATCTCATTTAATGCTCACAGAAACATATGATAGAAGTATTCATATGCCTTTTTTTTTAAGTTTTGCTATGGGGCACATGTGTTTGCTGGACAGAGATGGAGTGGGAGAGAAGAAAATGAGAAAGCACCCCCCAGAGGGGATGGCCACACCACAATCCTTTCTCCTCCATTCTTCTTTCCAGATTTTGGGCACACACATTCAACATATTTTTGTTTGTTTCTTTTGCTTTGCTTTGCTTTGCTTTGCTTTGCTTTGCTTTGCTTTGCTTTGCTTTGCTTTGTTTTTCACCAGCGTATTTATAAGTTTCTGGGTCCAGGACTCAAACCATGCAGTTGGCCATGAGGGATCCAGCTACTTTAACCACATCACCAACTAACCCTTCTATGCCTATTTTTTTTTTCTTTGTTGGAGAGGTTTTTGCTATAGGGCGCGTGTGCTCACCAGCAAGACAGAGAGAGACAGAGAGACAGAAAGTGAGAAATCACCCCCCAGGGGGGATGGCCACACTGCAATCCCTTCTCCTCCATTCTCCTCTTGGAATCTTGGGCATGCACGCACACACGCCCAGCGTGAGTTTTAAGTCACCGGGTCCGGGACGAGAACCGCATTCAACTATGTGGGAGTCCAGCAACATAGCCATTACGCCAACTGCTGGTCCCATATGCCTATTTTAAATAATGAGGATAAGACTAATATTCGCACACCTTAATAAGGGTTACATGATTCCAGGCTCTGGTCTCTTAGCAATTATGTAAATGGAATGACTTGTAGAGCAGAAAGGAGCAAAAAGATCTCGAGCCCACAAAATTTTATTCTCCAGGGTAGACCCCACCAAGGGAAACTGTGATCTACCTCAGGGGGTCACACCATGTGAAGTCTCAGACTCCATGCAGACACCCTTGTGAGCAGGGGTGTGCCTTTCAACATGAGGAACAACCTCCACGAAGAACAGTATCTATTCCTGACATAGTCCTTTTCTCTTCGGAGCTTTGGATGTTCCACAGAAATGACTTTCAACTAGAAAGCGGAGACTTTCCCAGCACACAGATACAAGGGGTGTCAGAGGAGGTCATGGAAACCATATTGTGAACTTCTGAAAGGTCTCTGAGGAAAATGGCAGAAAATGGCGGGCCAGGTGAACAAAGGGAAGCAGCCCCTTCTCCACTCCAGCCCTTTCCATCTCCCAGGCCTTTGAGATTCACTGTAATTTTAGAAAGGAAATGAACTTCTGGTTGTGTTGGGGACTGTGGATGTGTGGGTGGTGTGGGAAAGCTACATGAGACCCCAGAGAGTCCACAATAAAATCTTTGAGAAAATAGTCACTGCAAGGTAAGGAATTTGACACACATTAAGATCTCCAGAAGAAAACACTCAGGACAACCAGGCCCCTCTACACTAAGTTTTGTTTTGTTTTGTTTTGTTTTGTTTTGTTTTGTTTTGTTTTGTTTTGTTTTGTTTTAATTTTTGTTTTAGGGTGCATACGCTCATCAGAGAGAGAAGATAGAGAGGACTGAGAAAGTGTCCTTCAGGGACACCTTACTTTCACACCATACTCCCTTCTCCTCCATGCTTCTCTCAAGATTTTGGTCACACACACACATGCTCCTGGCATGATCTTTGAGTTGCCAAGTCCAGGACTTGAATAACACAGTCAATCATGTGGAATATCCAACATCCTTAACCTCCATGGCACCAGCTGGCCTCTCCACTGAGTTTTGAAAGAGATTTACCCAGGGACTGGCAGGTCCAGTGGCATGGTGGCTAAGGCTCTGGACTCCCACAACCCTGGTTCTAGTCCTAGATCTAGCAGCTTGCTTTCTCACTCTCTCTCTCTCTCTCTCTCTCTCTCTCTCTCTCTCTCTCTCTC